AGCTCATATTTACTGAGGAACACCTGACTAAATCATAGTGAGTCTCTTCTACCCATCTAAGCATTGCTGCACAGAGGATTGCCGCAGTGGGGTGTAACAACTAAAATGCAGGTACTTAAACTAGATGCATTTTAATTGCATTTCATTATTTCTAAATGGACACACAACTGCATCCATTGGTGTTTGGTTCATATCTGCCTGGAGTTCAGCATGTAATATTAGTGGAAAACTAAATGGTTTGGATTTGTAAATATGGTAGACATAGCTGAAAGCATAGCAATATAGGAAAATCATAGATCGCAAAATATATGTAAAAACTGTACAATGAGGGGAGACAGACCTGTACCAATGTGTTTATCTCCTCTATTCTACACAGAGACAAAATATACTTACTATTCATTAGTGGGGTTAACAGCTCAGTCCCCCCTTTTTCTTTGAACAATGCAAGCGTATCATGTTGTGGAAGTTGATTAGCTGAAAGAAGCGCCTTCTGAATTTTTATTCGGCCTTCCAAAAGCTGGTCCCAAATGGCTGAAAAGGAAACAAAAATAAGTTGTTTTTTTTAATAAAAATCCATTTATTGCATTTCTGAAATCAGCACATAAATGGAAGCAAAATTATTTTCCACAGTTATAAAAAACCCATACCACCCTATGCAAGCAGCAAATAGTTGTTTTCAGCAATAAAGTAGAACATCAATTTTAAAGGAGTGATTGGATTTTCCAAGGCTGGATTATTGTGGGGCCCCTATTAATGCTGCAGGAAGAAATGTACAAAATCCATTATAAAAAAAAAAAGTCTTGTGGAGTACATCTAGTGATTTAATTTTAGTAGAAAGATTTGCACTCATTTACAGGAAAGGATCTGTCACCAAAAAACTGATTTCAGTTTTATGTATATATCAGGGCTGAAGAACGCAGCAGCATTTTATCCGTTTTATCTCTGCCAGCAAGATCGCAGCACCTAAAATCCCTGCCTTGCGACAAACAAGATAGAGGTGTCTGGTGCTCCCAGTTAGAGAATTCATTAACTTTAAAAACACTGAGAAAGCTTTAAAGTGACATTAAACCCTCAGATTTTTTAACATAAACCAATACTGTAATGTGTGCCTTACTGTAGTCCATGGTAGTTTCCCTTCTCTTTGCTGCTCTTCCTTTTAAATCCTCATGTCTTCTCATGCTTGGGGAGAACTTCCCTTTGCAGCTGAGTGCCTCTTCCTGTAGTGCTGGCTCAGGCTGCAAACCTACACACAGACACCATGTATCCATTTCAGAAACAAGGCAGTCTGCTGCAAAACAGAAGTTCTGCCCAGCATGAGAAGAGATACAGATTTAAAAGGAAGAGCAGCAAAGAGAAGGGAAACTACCATGGATTACAGTGAGGCACACATTACAGTATTGTTTTATGTTAAAAAATCTGAGGGTTTAATGTCACTTTAAGGACGTCAAGGTTTGCTGCAGTAGAAGGCGTAAGAATGAAAGTTGGAAAATGGTTCAGCCAGGAACTGCTCTGGGTAGACGTCACCTCTTATACCGAGCGGTATTTGAATCCACAAGTGATTTACCTCATAAGTATCTACTTAAAATGAAATAAAATTAAATAAATAGGAACTGACACCATGTTTATACTGGGAACCTTCTATGAAGATTATCAGTTCAGTTGCTCAGAAAGAAGGCCAACACACACATTTTGGGATTCATTCACTGGATGCATAACCCTAGTCAATGCAGATCTACAGTAAAAGTCATGACCCAACTTAACTTAGGATACAATCAGTCTGAAATGTATTAATTACAAAAAGCAGATTTTACAATCATGTGAAGAAGAAACACAAAAGGATCGATGGATGGATTTTGACACAAAGTTTAAACAGGACAGTGTTCACACACAAAGCAGTTGACTAGTTACATGGATACTTAGCGTCCAAAAAAGAATAAAGAAGTGTGGCTGAGACTCGCTGAAAAGAAAGTTACAGTGAAAATAAATCACATCAATAACACTAGGGTGGCAGGGAATAGAGAAGAATGCCCCTACAGAGGCCATCACTGGAAAAGCAAGCACAACGTTGCAGGGGGCAGTCAATGGACAAGCACACTGTTACCTGTTGTTTTTATAGCACCAAGTCTTGTTGGAGATCTGTGTCAGCACCAGCACTAGGTTGATATGTATTGTTCCACCAACACCATTGTCTTGAAGAAAACCACAGCACAACTGTGTTTGTGGCAGGAAACCTGTCATACTGATTACCGAAGAACACGATGTCAACATTGAAACATGGTGGTAACAGGTAGTGGGGATGTTTTTCCAATTAGGAACCATTCGAGATCAAGGGCAAAATGGATAGAACCAAATACAGGTCAATTTCAGAGGAAAACATTCCTCTGTCTGCAAGAGACTGGGGAGCAGGTTCACCTACTGGCAGGACAATGATATTAAAAATATATAAACCTACGACTATGCCTTACTCTCTTCAATGGAAAAAGTAAACAAACTATCTTTCCAGGGAAGCGTACACACACCAGTTAGTGTTCAAAAAGCAAATCAGGTTGTGGAGCCTTTGCAAACCTCACAGTTTGAGAACAGCTGACCTAGGCAATATATGTATCACAGGGATCTGGACCGATGTGAATAGTAAATAATTTATGCCACATGTCTACAGAAGAAAAACACAGCTTTAAGACACCTACACGCAGAGGCTTCTTTCTCTGTCAATCTAACCTATCTGTACCAGAGTTTTACTTACCATACAGAAAAGCCAGTGTTTCATTATACCAGTTGTCTGTATGATAAAATGAATTCATGTGGGGGAAGAGTACTTTAGTGGGCTCATATCATCTCCTACAGTTCCAAAAGACAGTCACATCTGGGCACTAGCCAAAATTAGAAGCCCCGTAATTAAAGAGAGTGTGTCTGAACCGTGGGGCGGTGCATTATGTATGGTGAGCCAGCAGGATTACTTGTCAAACCTGCCGAGATGTGTTGGCTGCAGAAAATTAATGATTTCATTCTTTAAAACAATTACCTCCCAAAGACACCTTCAAATGAACTAATAAAAAGGATTACCTTTTGAGTAACTCGCATTTTCATCTATTATCATGGTCTTTACGAAAAGCCTTTAACTTGCTAAATATTATACTGTTACATTTAAGATCATTTAGCCTCAGAAACAGAGGAATGAAGTTAGGCTCCTGTGGTCGATAGAAAGTTAAAACACCACACACTTATACACACTCACCTATCTCCTGCATGGCTCCAACGCCTCAGAGCTGCACTTTAGAGGTTAGTCTGAGCACCACGGCATATACAGGTATTATTTAACCCTTTGTCAGTGGCATAACTACATCATACTCTATCTTTCTATGCAGACTTCTGAAAGCAAATCTTCAAACAGCAAAGTCACTCAACCACTTCTACACTGTTAAAAACTGGTGCTCTCTCCTACCACTTCCAATACCAAGGCCACTCACTGCCAATTAAATGGTTCTTTTTGCCATCAAAAACCTTAGGCCTTTCAATGCAGGCAAAAAGAGAGCAGAGACTTCATCTCAGAATGGCTCCTGAAGGGCTGCTGATATAATGAAGTGAAAAGAAGAAGAAAAAAAACATAATAAAAGTGAAAAAAAATATAAAGCACACTCAACAGAAGTGCTGCATTTTTATGCAATGCACTTGTATAGAGTGAACAAGGCACATAGAAAACAGTTATTCTCTCAGTGTCCATCAACACACCTGGTATGAACAGGGTGTTGGAGTGTACAACATTTTCAGGTACGAAAGCTGCCAAACAGATATCTTCAAATCTTGATTGCATTGCTCATCAAAGAGACCAACTGTGTGCTGTTCATGCCTGGGGCATGGCGGGGGAGATGAGAAAGGTGACATTCATTCATCGGGACGAGACATCAAGCTTTGCACCCTGTGGTGTTGATAAGGGTGTAGGCACATTGGGAAGACATGTCAAGATATCCGGATTTTGCATATGAAGGTGACTGGCCATTGTCTAAAGATCAAAGGACAAGGTGTTGACCTAGGCCAAGGACTGATCTGCAGTACGATGGTGCCCCCTGCTGGAGGACTACAGTGCGTGTGGATAAATATGAAGGACCATGCCGATTGGCCGAGAGACATTTAAGGGACATGCGGAATTCTGGGTAAAGGGGGTGTCGATGTATATTTCTTGACGAGTTGGACGCTGCCTGTGGATACCACCATCTTAGTAGGCTGCCATACTATCTATACAGATGAGTCTCAGGAGGTATGTTCAAATGCGTCAATAGGTAGTTGGGACAGAAAAAACACAGCAATGTCACCTCCACTGCATTAATCCTATCGGTGGACAGTCAATGCAGAGAAGCAGCTCATTACCTCTTTTTCTTGACGAGTTGGACGCTGCCTGTGGATACCACCATCTTAGTAGGCTGCCATACTATCTATACAGATGAGTCTCAGGAGGTATGTTCAAATGCGTCAATAGGTAGTTGGGACAGAAAAAACACAGCAATGTCACCTCCACTGCATTAATCCTATCGGTGGACAGTCAATGCAGAGAAGCAGCTCATTGATAAGTCACCCCTCTGCTTACTAATCCTGTCAGAATGCTTCTTGCCAGCTCATATTTACTGAGGAACACCTGACTAAATCATAGTGAGTCTCTTCTACCCATCTAAGCATTGCTGCACAGAGGATTGCCGCAGTGGGGTGTAACAACTAAAATGCAGGTACTTAAACTAGATGCATTTTAATTGCATTTCATTATTTCTAAATGGACACACAACTGCATCCATTGGTGTTTGGTTCATATCTGCCTGGAGTTCAGCATGTAATATTAGTGGAAAACTAAATGGTTTGGATTTGTAAATATGGTAGACATAGCTGAAAGCATAGCAATATAGGAAAATCATAGATCGCAAAATATATGTAAAAACTGTACAATGAGGGGAGACAGACCTGTACCAATGTGTTTATCTCCTCTATTCTACACAGAGACAAAATATACTTACTATTCATTAGTGGGGTTAACAGCTCAGTCCCCCCTTTTTCTTTGAACAATGCAAGCGTATCATGTTGTGGAAGTTGATTAGCTGAAAGAAGCGCCTTCTGAATTTTTATTCGGCCTTCCAAAAGCTGGTCCCAAATGGCTGAAAAGGAAACAAAAATAAGTTGTTTTTTTTAATAAAAATCCATTTATTGCATTTCTGAAATCAGCACATAAATGGAAGCAAAATTATTTTCCACAGTTATAAAAAACCCATACCACCCTATGCAAGCAGCAAATAGTTGTTTTCAGCAATAAAGTAGAACATCAATTTTAAAGGAGTGATTGGATTTTCCAAGGCTGGATTATTGTGGGGCCCCTATTAATGCTGCAGGAAGAAATGTACAAAATCCATTATAAAAAAAAAAAGTCTTGTGGAGTACATCTAGTGATTTAATTTTAGTAGAAAGATTTGCACTCATTTACAGGAAAGGATCTGTCACCAAAAAACTGATTTCAGTTTTATGTATATATCAGGGCTGAAGAACGCAGCAGCATTTTATCCGTTTTATCTCTGCCAGCAAGATCGCAGCACCTAAAATCCCTGCCTTGCGACAAACAAGATAGAGGTGTCTGGTGCTCCCAGTTAGAGAATTCATTAACTTTAAAAACACTGAGAAAGCTTTAAAGTGACATTAAACCCTCAGATTTTTTAACATAAACCAATACTGTAATGTGTGCCTTACTGTAGTCCATGGTAGTTTCCCTTCTCTTTGCTGCTCTTCCTTTTAAATCCTCATGTCTTCTCATGCTTGGGGAGAACTTCCCTTTGCAGCTGAGTGCCTCTTCCTGTAGTGCTGGCTCAGGCTGCAAACCTACACACAGACACCATGTATCCATTTCAGAAACAAGGCAGTCTGCTGCAAAACAGAAGTTCTGCCCAGCATGAGAAGAGATACAGATTTAAAAGGAAGAGCAGCAAAGAGAAGGGAAACTACCATGGATTACAGTGAGGCACACATTACAGTATTGTTTTATGTTAAAAAATCTGAGGGTTTAATGTCACTTTAAGGACGTCAAGGTTTGCTGCAGTAGAAGGCGTAAGAATGAAAGTTGGAAAATGGTTCAGCCAGGAACTGCTCTGGGTAGACGTCACCTCTTATACCGAGCGGTATTTGAATCCACAAGTGATTTACCTCATAAGTATCTACTTAAAATGAAATAAAATTAAATAAATAGGAACTGACACCATGTTTATACTGGGAACCTTCTATGAAGATTATCAGTTCAGTTGCTCAGAAAGAAGGCCAACACACACATTTTGGGATTCATTCACTGGATGCATAACCCTAGTCAATGCAGATCTACAGTAAAAGTCATGACCCAACTTAACTTAGGATACAATCAGTCTGAAATGTATTAATTACAAAAAGCAGATTTTACAATCATGTGAAGAAGAAACACAAAAGGATCGATGGATGGATTTTGACACAAAGTTTAAACAGGACAGTGTTCACACACAAAGCAGTTGACTAGTTACATGGATACTTAGCGTCCAAAAAAGAATAAAGAAGTGTGGCTGAGACTCGCTGAAAAGAAAGTTACAGTGAAAATAAATCACATCAATAACACTAGGGTGGCAGGGAATAGAGAAGAATGCCCCTACAGAGGCCATCACTGGAAAAGCAAGCACAACGTTGCAGGGGGCAGTCAATGGACAAGCACACTGTTACCTGTTGTTTTTATAGCACCAAGTCTTGTTGGAGATCTGTGTCAGCACCAGCACTAGGTTGATATGTATTGTTCCACCAACACCATTGTCTTGAAGAAAACCACAGCACAACTGTGTTTGTGGCAGGAAACCTGTCATACTGATTACCGAAGAACACGATGTCAACATTGAAACATGGTGGTAACAGGTAGTGGGGATGTTTTTCCAATTAGGAACCATTCGAGATCAAGGGCAAAATGGATAGAACCAAATACAGGTCAATTTCAGAGGAAAACATTCCTCTGTCTGCAAGAGACTGGGGAGCAGGTTCACCTACTGGCAGGACAATGATATTAAAAATATATAAACCTACGACTATGCCTTACTCTCTTCAATGGAAAAAGTAAACAAACTATCTTTCCAGGGAAGCGTACACACACCAGTTAGTGTTCAAAAAGCAAATCAGGTTGTGGAGCCTTTGCAAACCTCACAGTTTGAGAACAGCTGACCTAGGCAATATATGTATCACAGGGATCTGGACCGATGTGAATAGTAAATAATTTATGCCACATGTCTACAGAAGAAAAACACAGCTTTAAGACACCTACACGCAGAGGCTTCTTTCTCTGTCAATCTAACCTATCTGTACCAGAGTTTTACTTACCATACAGAAAAGCCAGTGTTTCATTATACCAGTTGTCTGTATGATAAAATGAATTCATGTGGGGGAAGAGTACTTTAGTGGGCTCATATCATCTCCTACAGTTCCAAAAGACAGTCACATCTGGGCACTAGCCAAAATTAGAAGCCCCGTAATTAAAGAGAGTGTGTCTGAACCGTGGGGCGGTGCATTATGTATGGTGAGCCAGCAGGATTACTTGTCAAACCTGCCGAGATGTGTTGGCTGCAGAAAATTAATGATTTCATTCTTTAAAACAATTACCTCCCAAAGACACCTTCAAATGAACTAATAAAAAGGATTACCTTTTGAGTAACTCGCATTTTCATCTATTATCATGGTCTTTACGAAAAGCCTTTAACTTGCTAAATATTATACTGTTACATTTAAGATCATTTAGCCTCAGAAACAGAGGAATGAAGTTAGGCTCCTGTGGTCGATAGAAAGTTAAAACACCACACACTTATACACACTCACCTATCTCCTGCATGGCTCCAACGCCTCAGAGCTGCACTTTAGAGGTTAGTCTGAGCACCACGGCATATACAGGTATTATTTAACCCTTTGTCAGTGGCATAACTACATCATACTCTATCTTTCTATGCAGACTTCTGAAAGCAAATCTTCAAACAGCAAAGTCACTCAACCACTTCTACACTGTTAAAAACTGGTGCTCTCTCCTACCACTTCCAATACCAAGGCCACTCACTGCCAATTAAATGGTTCTTTTTGCCATCAAAAACCTTAGGCCTTTCAATGCAGGCAAAAAGAGAGCAGAGACTTCATCTCAGAATGGCTCCTGAAGGGCTGCTGATATAATGAAGTGAAAAGAAGAAGAAAAAAAACATAATAAAAGTGAAAAAAAATATAAAGCACACTCAACAGAAGTGCTGCATTTTTATGCAATGCACTTGTATAGAGTGAACAAGGCACATAGAAAACAGTTATTCTCTCAGTGTCCATCAACACACCTGGTATGAACAGGGTGTTGGAGTGTACAACATTTTCAGGTACGAAAGCTGCCAAACAGATATCTTAAGGGATCAGGGATTATTTTAGTACAAGGCTAAATAAAAGGTTCTGAGCTTAAAGGATAACCTTCCTCTTAAAACTCAAAGCAACGAGAGAAGAAAAATAAAAGGCACAGGTAAGCGAATTAAATGTGCAAAGTTCCTTGATAATCCTGGGTATATTTAAAGAGCCAAATCAGTCCTATTCACTAAAGGGGAAAATAAGTCTGCACATATTTTCACAGGCTGACTTTTTTCCCCCTGACTGAAACTAGTCACTAAACTCTGATGGCACAAATTCAGCTAGCAGGGCTGATTTATGGAGGATTTGGGAGAGTTTAGTTTGTATCGTTTAGGATTCCAAACACAAGTTCACTATAAGATTTTTTTTGGAACTAGACTTATCCCAAATGTAAGTGTTACTTACTAAAATATATAAAATAATATTTTAGGGGTGCTATATTTGATGTGTTCCAAGCTAAGCAAGGTGATCTAGGCAACACAACCATATGTCATGGGTTTTTTTTATCATTCAAAATGCAAATTAAAAAAATCTTTTTACATTTTTTTTTATTTTTTTTTAAAGCTTTGCAGTTTACTAAATCAGGGCCAATGTATTTTAAGCTGCTTAGTTATCCTTTACAAGTCATTTATAGGTTCACATTTCATTGCTTTTCAAGAACCCCACAATTTTGAGTCTAGATTTGTTTACTTATTTTTAAAATTATATTTAAAGCCAAAACTTTTTTTTATCCAAAACTTTTTTTTTAAATGGGAGTATGGCATAGTGAAAGCTGAAGTTTAATCTGCTTATATTTTGCCTTCCCTGATACCTCCTAACTCCCTCGTCAACATGCTAATAATTGAATTAAATGAAACCCTTCTATTTTATTACATACCTTTATTTAAGCCCAGTGATTTCATCACTTGGTCTCTATGCATCTCAGTGCAATGCAGGCAAAATCATGGCTGGTGGAACGGGGCAACAGGGGTGCATTATATAGATTTCTGAACACAAGAAGGTGTGGTAATGCCCACATGTGATGCTGAGCCTTTACAATGAAAGAAATCCACTGAATAAAAAGGGGTAGGCCAGGGACTTCCAGAAACCAGCTAGGTCGACAAATAATAATTCCGGGTGTCGAGTTTTGAAGAGGGGATGTGGGCATTTCTCAGCAAGTACAAAACAACTTTTACTACACTAGTTTTGAGCACATAAATACATATACCCATATGTGAACCAGCAGATAACTAGTATATAATAGCATGTTTCAATTGAACTAATGGTAGTAATTAGAGGTTACCCAGAGCTGCAGCATAAAATGATCATTGCGGGAGAAGCAGAAACTGTATCCGTTTGTGTCCCTGTACTAGCTACTAAATGATGGAAATGTTTGCCAATTGCTTCCTCTGCACAACTCAATTTGATTCTATTAGCATATGCCGCTAGGTGTTCTAATAAGATCTCCCTCTATCCATGCTCACAACAGTGTTATATAAAAGAAAAATAAATTAAAAGACCTAAAAACTTAAACAAATTGGCTTATGTTTGTGATAAATGAACATTTACAGTGAGGAAAATAATTTCCTTCTCACCAAGCTTCTTGCTGATAATCTTGTACCTAACGTCCTTTGACAACTCTTTGGTCTTGCGCATGGTGGTGAGGTTTGAATGAAAGAAAGAGATTCTGTGTACAGGTGTCTTTTATATACATTACGAGTTGTCGTCAGGAGCACCTTCTTAAATTGACAGAACTAATCTGTGTAACACATAGCCAGTCTGTAAGAGCCAGAATTATTGTTGGTGGTAGGGGATCAAATACTTATTTTACTCACTGAACTGCAACTCAATTTATAACATTTGCATCATGTGTTTTTTCTGGATTTTTGGTTGTGTGGCAGTGCATGGCAATGCCACGGTGTTTTATGGCAACTATGGCACCCAGGACTTTCAGCCAGAGGGGCTGAGAGGGCCCAGAATGTGAACCATTTTATAAGGAAGAACCTGGCTTTTCAGATTCTTCCAGGTTTTTTTTTTTATGTTGAAGTCGTCTTCAAGACTGGTCACTTAGCGCTTACCATTGGGCTATATTCCCCAAACTATCACAGTTGATATTCTGTCTCTACAACATAAAATACATGATAAAAATGATAGACCTTTCATTTCTTTGTAAGTGGGCAAACTTACAAAATCTGCAGGGGATCAAATAATAATTTTTCAAGAGTCTAGTCAATAGGAGTATCTTCTTTGAAAATGTCTCCAACTGCTGCAGCAAAATGAGTAAGCAGAGGTATAGACTCAATATTTCTGCTAATACAGCAGCTCTTCTTTGATTTTAGGTTAGTCAAGTGCTTAACAGCTGATTGTATGTGCAATATTACACAGCCATAAATTTACTGCGAGTTGTTTTTCTTTAGCCCATAGATGTACCGCACTTCTGAGCTATGGGCAGCATAGTAATGCCCCCACTCCCTTTTCCCCACAAAAGCCTTAGCAGCCAACAGCGAGCTTGCCTAAGCCAATACAAACACAAACTTTCTGAAAGTCAGTATATACGCAGTATCTTCAATTGTGCTTTCAAGAAGATTACTTCAAAAAAGTGCTATATGTGGAGTCTTAAAATACAAATAATAAACAAATGTGCTTTAGTTAAGTAACTTTTAGGGCAGCAAAGGGAAGTGCAAGAAAAGTACTTGCCAAACTTTTGAAAAGCTACACTGGCTGCCTCATGCTAAAAACAACAATTTTGGAAGTGTCAGATTGTTCTAGCCCCTTGCTCATGCCCCCCTCCCAACGTTACTGCTCTGTTAATACCAGCACACCCTTGCGCTACAAGTGTTAAAATTGCAGAGGCTGTGCGAGAGATCACGCATGCAATAGCAGACCTCTGGGCAGACTATATGGTTTTTAAAAGTGGCATAAGGAAATACACAAATGTGGGGACTGATTAACCATTTCGCTGCTACCGACATATGTTATACGCCAGCAGCAGCGAGGCCCTGTAAACAGGCTCCCAGTTGCTATATAAGAATGAATGGCACCACTGCATGCCTATGCAGTATGAAGATGACCTGGCCAGAACCATGTCTTGAAAAAGATAGCTGGATCAGAGAAGAAGACAAGTATTATCCCAGGCGGGCTGCACTTGGGCCCAGAAAATCATAGCCACCAGCTCTTGTTAAGCAAAACAGTTCAGAAGGCAATCCTATGGCTTCAGGACATCTTATAGCAAAATTTTTATACAGTTCATAAGCTCATACATTAGTATCCCTCAATTTTAAAGTCAGGGAAAGATCCTTTAAAATTGGCAGCACACCTTACTATTCACTGCCAAACCATAATACCTAAAAACTTTTTCAATTTTGAAATCTATACAAGAAAAAGAACTAAATACTGTATTTCCTGTCCACAACTTTGCCCTCAGTTTCATCTGTTCAACTAAAGATAAATATTACTTCTATCTTATTTCATGTAACAGCTTTACAATGTTTAAAATCAAAATGACTGAAAAGCAAAACTTGTCTTAAAAGACAATTTACAAATATGCAATACAAGAAAAATAAATTACCAAAGGAAAATTACATTGATTTACACCCTGGTCCTGATTGTGCAGTGTGAACAAATATGACTTACTGATCTGATTCTTAATGCCTTGACCCTTAGCAACATCAGAGGAAACCTTTTCTTTGGAGAATGTTTGTACTGCATCTTGCAAATCTGAATCTTCCCCGTCATGCTGAGCTGAAACTTCATCATCTTCATCGCTGTCCAGCTCAGCAATTTCACGGTCATCAACACTACCATCATCATCGTCGTCCCCCTCCTCCTCGGACTCATTGTCTTCAGCATCTGTTACTTCGTCTTCATCACCACTCATCAGTTCAAGATTGCTGTCCAATTCCTCATCTTTAGATGCTTCTTCATCTACAATACAAACACAAATATCACTATAAGACAACCAACAGGTGAACATGTATCAAAATAATTAACATATGGCAGGGAGCACAACAAGAATATTTGCAACTGCATGGTGAAAAAATAGGATTTTGGTACTCACCGTAAAATCCTTTTCTCTCCGTTCATTGAAGGACACAGGGAACAGATCGGAGATCATGTACTGTAGGGTAATAGCGCCACCTGCAGGAGAAGGAATTTCTTAAAACAGCTCAATACAGCTCTTATGTGTTTCACGTTTACAAACCCTTTTTCGAAGGGTTTTTGAAAAAGAGCTTGTAAGCATGAAGACATAACAGATGTGCCATTTAATAAAGAAAAAGAAGGTTTCGACGGTACAGTTGTGTGATGGATGTTTCATCTTCTTGGTACTTATCTGCTGGCATGACAACCCGGACCTGCAACGGCCATAGCAGATTGCTGTCAAAACCAAGATCCACCCGGAAAGGTTTGTTTGATACTAATCTGGAAGGAAGAACTTGTTGAGCTGGGGGGAAAAAAATGAGTCTCCTACTCAAAATGTGGGTTACCTCAATCATTAGGTAAGTCACCCACCTGATTCCGCTGGGGGTTTAATGAACACAATTTACCAGTGTTTACTTTTGTTTTTTTCAAATGCATTACTCTGCAGGAAGACTGCACTACTCCAGATTTATCTACAGTCTAAAACAGCTCCAATGTCCTTGGACTTGGACTGAAATCCATCTTGTAACTCACAACGTTTTTGTAGTTGTATAGGCTTGGAGGTTCTATGGGGGAATTCCGGCCCTCCCTTTGTCAACCTTACATAGGTATATGGGTAGAGCGCTGCATCATTGTGGTTATTTACTTATTTTTGTTTTTTTATTGTTTGCTTTGGGTAATATATAGATGACCATGAATAGATTTGTGTGTTCTTTGCAATTTAAGGACAGGAAGAATTATACTGGAGTTGCTGAAACTCATTTCTGCAAGGAGGTTTGCTGGCCCTTGCATCACTCCAGACACCCCTGATCCAGTTAGGCGAAACGGACCACTGTTTCGTCTGTTCTTTCGGACCCAGCCAGAGCCAGGGATAACCAGGTGTAAATGGACGCTCGTCCATTTACACACGGCTGCCCATAGACTTGGATTGGCCATCCGATCGGGTCCATCTGAAAAACTGACAGGCAGACCTGATCGGACAGCCCGTGTGAAAGGGGACTAAAGGCTGCCAAGTAGACAAAAATGTAAAAAAAATAAAATATTTTTTGTTATTAACATACTTTAATAATGTTATTAGTTGTAAAATGGTATCAAATTACAGTATTAAACAGAGGCACACCGTCACCTACAGGCTGCATTGGTCCTTGCAAGCTAAAACCAGTGTTGTCAGAATATGGCATGATTGGGAACCAGCTTAAAGTTCACAAAAAGGATCTCACCTCTCCAATACAACGAAAATCACTTACACGTTTCACCGATTAAGCGTAATCATAGGAGGCATGATTAAGCCTATTCAGTGAAACGCGTAAGTGGATTCTCATTGTGTTGAGGAGCACGTCTGAGGTATACATTTGTGGATTACATTAAATATTGAAGTACAATTTAAGATCCTGTGGTGTGACTGTCTTTTGAGCTGGATGGATAATTGAGAACCACTTTGATTGGTTCCTAAATGTTAGTGGGGACCAAAGCGGTCAGTGACAACCAGGTTTGAGAGTAAGTAGCTACACAAAACGTCATCTGGTAGCGGTCTAAGTGGTGACATTTATTAATGAATCCTCAGCATAGGGAATCATGCAGAGGAACATTTCTATACAGACTATAGGGTGGGAAGGTGTTAAAAATGGTATAATAAACTAGCCAGCATGAGAAAATGTGTATTTTACAGCAAAAAGTTCTTAAAATGTATTGAAGTAAAATTAGTTTGCATTGTTTTACCTATATTAAATATGTAAAGAATGAATAGCTGAATACGATATGAAGTGTTTGTACATTTATTTGAAACTCACCAGAATCTTCAGAGAAAGACTGCTCCCCTAATTCGGCTTTTATATCTTTGCGAGATGTTTTCTTTCCTTGATACCTTTTATCCGTGTCAGAAAGGAAGGTTACTGAGCGTTTCTTGAGATTCTTCAGAATAATGGCACCATCGTCATCTTCAATTTCCCCTTCATCACATTTTTCAATAACTTTTGCAGCAGTAGCTGTGAATATAAAAATGACAATGTCATTATTGAGAAAACAAACCATGTGACATGAGGAGACACTGAAAAGTAGTAAATTAACCAATATTAAACTAAGTGACCTTAATGTAACCTACAGTGGGGTAATTAAGCATAGACTGAGTCAAGCTAACCACAACAAATTCTTCTCCTACAGTTATGTGCAATATTGTTCAACTCATTTGTAATATTCCCCCTTTAACGTGTATCTAAATCCAACATTTGAAGGATAGAGAATGGTATTATCACTATGTCCCCACTAGGAACATTCATTCTCTTTATTTGTCCTGGTGACCACTTGGACAGAAAGTGAAGGAAAAATCCCACATTTTGTGTGACCCATCAGGTGACTGTGCTCACTCATGAGAAGCGTTTCTTAGCACTGTTAAATTCGGCTTTGGTTAAAATTATTTTTTGTATCACAAGTAGATTGTCATGAGGGAAAAGTAAATTGGGCCCCCGCTTAAGTCCTTGGACAAGTAGCTTTTTTTTTTTTTCAATTTTCATACCCCTGATTATTGTGTTATATGTATACTTATTTTTGGTGTTTAACATTTTCATTGCTATATAGCGCCATATTATTAAAAGATAACCAGCTATATTGGACTGTTTTTTATTAGTACAATATAATACTGGCTGCTTGTTTTAATCATGTTTAGAGTTTCCTAGTGCAGAGGGTTTATTTATTATAGTTAATTACAATCTGCCCCTTCCTCCCCATCTAAAATCTCAGCATTTTACCTGTTACAACCCCCCTTCTCCTGTTCCATGTACATATGTAAGTACAAAGTAATCCTCAGTACCCAAAAGAAAAAAAAACCAAGTAAAACATTAACACACATTGATAAGATTACTTACAGGCTGATAATGTTGACATGTTTATCCCAAAAAAAAAACATGAAAAGACTACATTGCCTTTGAAATATTGCTAGCTTGTGTTTCATTGATACATTTTCATTAAACAAAATTATAACAAAAATTTGCAATGGTTACATAACTAATTAAAAAAATGCACACTTTTACAAAATCTACGAACACAAACTTATAGTTTTGATGATAAAAATGACTGAAGTAAAACAACAAACATGATTGAAATAACTCATACAGCTTAGTCAATTGACGCCATAGACACCAGCATATGTTGGAAAATGACAATTCTACCATATCACAATAAGTTAACAAGGAGCTTCTGGACAACAGCCTCATGTCTTTGTAACAGTCACAAATCTCAGCAACATGTGCAGATCTGTCATATTACGCCGTCTAAGCCTGTGATACATGAGAGTTAGGTCACAATGTTGTCTCCCCAACAAATCACAGTGTCTGGGAAAATCTAGACCACCATTTAATAAATGAACAAAAGAAAAGTATTGTTAAACAATATTAATAAAAGAGAACACGTACCCTAGCCTTAGTATAATTTAAATATTACATTATAATTAAATGCGTTTCAGCACCAATCTACATACCTATACTATAACATATTACGTTCATCTTTACAGTTCGTACCTTAAAAAAATTTCAAGGATAGCTGCATGCTCACAGTGAATTATACATTTGTTTAGGGCTGCAGCTAACGATTATTGTCATAATCAGTTGGCCGATTATTTTTTCAACTAATCGGTTTGGTTGTATAAAAAAAATTATCTCCCAACTATTCTCATAATCGATTGATTTAGTCGATTAGTTGTTGCAGCTCTACATTGGTTTCTCTTTCTCTCTCTCTATATATATATATACACACACACACACACACACGTGTAACATATATATAGAACAGTAGTAATAAAGTATGGTGTTGCCACTGCTGACTTCTCCTGAAAATGTTAGTTCTCTAGCTGTCACACTTCAAACTCTCGAAGTCACTGGATTGGAACAAGTATGTAGATCACAAGTTCTGACTTCACTCTGACTTTCCTAATATGCGTGCTTGTTTTAGGTAAGAACTGATTGATGATGATTAAGTACATAGTTACATAGTATTTGAGGTTGAATAAAGACATTAGTCCATCAAGTCCAACCTATAGGATCTCGTTTTTAGGAGTACCTGTACCCCTGTATATTACTGTCCCTTAAAAAAGTTTCTTGAACAATTCCACGTTTTTTGCTGAAATCACTGCCTGTGGCAGTGAGTTCCAGACCTTAACCGAACATTAAGCCACATAGGTTTGGTTTTCGATCTTTTGCTTTTGCTCCCTAAAAAGGTATACACTTTGAAGTAGCAGTATGTAGTGTTTTTTTAAAACAATCCCACATCTGGTTTGTGTTTAGGTTGTGAAATAAGTTTTCCCATTTTATTTCCCCCAGTAAGGATGTCCTTTAAAAAAAAACTAAATTTACCAAAGCCAACATATTTCTCATATGACAACTGCTTTTATCAAACCTTTCTACCACCCCCTGGGCTTTAACCATAGAATAAACTTACAGTTCAAATAAAAATGATTCACCCCTAAGATGTTTTTTTTTCATTGTCATAGGACATTGATTCACAGTGGATTTAATTGTTTAGGGTTTTTTTTTTTACACTGAGCAACAAAAATATTCCTTACCATCATCAACAAAAGGTTTGTCCAAATAGTAAGATGCTTATGCAGTCATCTGGAGGAACCAGAAACTGATACTGCTCGCCAATGCAAAAGGAAAATATTCCGTAGAAATTGCAGAGTAGAACCCATGATCTGATCTATTGTATTATGCACTTGACACCAGTATAATAAAGTCGTGAACAAGATCAAAAAATATGGCATCACCAGCAAGATTGTGTGAGGTTTGGTATATGCGCATTGTGGGCCTTTGATCATTTATTAGAACAGCCCAGTTGCAGGGAGGAGAATTCTCAATATCCACCCTGAGCAATGACTAAAGCTGGCCATACACCTATAGATTATCTGCCGATTTTCTATGTTCAGATGGAAAAAGTGCAACCGATTCCGCCATCTACGCTAAACTGTGTGGATGGAGGAATCTCCCACTGGGCCAACCTTCTATATCTTGCTGGTCGGCCCCGCTGGCTCTCAAAATACCTGAACAATGCCTGCATCCAATCACATTGTTCAGGTATTTTGGCAGCCAGTGGGGCCGACTAGCAAGATACTGAAGCTTGGCCCAGTGGGAGATTCCTCCATCCACACAGTTTAGTGTAGATGGAGGAATCTGTTGCATTTTTTCCATCTGACCATAGAAAATCTGCAGATAATCTATAGGTGTATGGCCAGCTAAGTCCTGTTGCAGGGCACTAGGAATGCATTCTGGCTAACAATGATAATGTCAAGTGCCAGTGACTTTAGCTGGATCATGAATCTCATCCCCAGCCTGGCTCACTACCTGGCTTTAAATAAAAGCACAATACAATGAAACATTTTATTTACTATCTAATGACAGGTAGTAGCATGCCATTAAAACTTTTTCATTAAGAAATCCTTTAATTCGGTCAAACAAACTTGTAATGCTGCTTTAAGACTACAGTTCTTTAAGGACATTTGATGAAAATGTGTAGAAGATTGTACAACATCAAACTTGAAAATCAAAACATAACGTATAATATAGTAACCGATGTGTCATTCCCAAGCTGTTCATCAGCAATGCCTATGCTGTAGATTAATAGCAAACGAGCTACACATAAAATGCAGGTGTCATAAGACATATTGATCCCCGTAACCCGAACTAACATCTGCTTATAAATGGCCTTCATGTGCTCACATACCAAGGAAGTGGCACATTTAAATAGAAGGAAAATGTTATCTTGTTAATGGAAGTGCCTAGGTTACTGACTGATAATCTGCATTGTGTAAAATAAGGCCAAAACTTGTGCGTTTGCAGAAACACGACAAAATGTGCCGCGCCCCAGCGGTGCCATTCATTTCTAATGGCACCCCAAATGCAGCCAGCTAAAACGCGCATTTTTGTTCCGCGTCTGCGCACGTGTAAACACCACGGCAATTGGATACTCTGTTACAATTTATCCCATAGGTTTCCCACATCTCTTCTCTTCCTATTATGCACATCACGATGACCTTCATCACATTCCAAACTTTGCCTGTGACATTTAACACTTTCCATTAACCCTTTATCTACCAAAACAAAACCTAGAGGAATAAATGTAGATCCAAGTCTACATTCAATTATTTAGCCTGCAATGTATTCAATTGAAAGATCCATTTTAATTCTTGTTTTTTCAGTATTAACTCCCTATTGCCACCTCTTTGTGGCTTACGGATTAAATCAATCGCCATGAATCTTAACTGTGACACTGCATGCCCATAATCAACAAAATGTCCCACCAGTGGAAGTTCCACTTTCTTGTCCCTTATTGCATATGTGTCTAGCTATGTGATCCTTTAATTTCGACGTTGTTTACCCAATTGCTAGGCAATACGTTTCAGAGGTTCACCTGACGAACCGGAAGTACCCAGCAGCTGTGGTCCGCCTTGAGGAGAACCAGCTACGGCACTGCTCAGCCATCGGATCAGATCTGTGTCTCCCAGCACAGCTGATCTGGAATCTTTCTGGACTGAACTCTGCTCTCTTCCATGTGCCTTCCATCCTGATAAAAATCTTGGACCAGCAGCTAAGATCAGACTCCCATCTGATGTACGACAGGCAGCGTTAATTTCGTTGGCGAAAATATTTCGTCAGTTTTCGTTAGCTGCATGTTCTCAGTGACAAAAACTAAATAAAAACTAAGTTATTAAGACTAAAACTGAGACAAAAATACATTGCAATTGTTGTCGTCGAACAAAAACGCAATGAAAATGGGAGGGACTATTGCATTTACCTATTTGGACCAGTTCCCTCTGAACCTTGCCAAACCCCCAGTCCCCTGACTCTATCGGCAGCTGGATTGGCTGAGACTCAGGCTCTATTGGTCTCCCTGCCACCTGGATCAATGCCATGCAAACAGCAGACAATACTTCATCAATTTGCCTGCTACTGTCACATGAGAGTTTCTCCTCCCATCTGCCTAGCAAGTTAGCACTGCTTTCTCAGACTTGTTCTCTCCTCACACTAGTTTACTTCCCCATCCCTACTCCACAATCTTGCAAAACTTGGTTTTATTTAATTCTAAGTTAAATAAAGACGTTCTATATCAAAAATACTATTCTGAGGCATTTGGCTATTCACTCACTGCCGTTCGGCCCCTATGTGAATAGGGGCTAACAGCAGCGAGTGGACTGCTGAAGGTTCGGCTCCAGTTGAACGGCTGAACCGAAGGGAGCTGATGTACAGCTAGTTTTAGCCCATGTACGGCTGAAAATCAGCTGTACAGGGCCGAAGTGCATAGCCAAATGGCGTTCGGCTCACTTATTCTCTTGGCTGCCTTCGGAAGCTGAGTGAATAACCCCCTAAAACTAAGGCCCCATTCACACCTGACCGTTTTGTAGCGCGTCCTACGCTCGATGATAGCTCTACAAAACGGTCAAAAAAATAAATAGCATTGTAGTCAATGGTATCGTTCCCACCTGTCCGTATTTCCGCCCGTCCCGAACGCACTACAAAACGGCCCACGCATGAAAAGGTCCCGGAGCGTTTTTTGCTGCGTATTGGTCCGTTTTGTAGGGCGTTTTCCATTTGTATACTGCCAAGTAGCCTTTGGGGTCGCGGTAAACAAAACGCGTGCCGGTCGCGCGGCAGACGCGCATATTACAATACGCATAGGTGTGAATGGGGGCTTAATTGAAATTTGCAGTCAAAATGAACACTGGTGACGGGGGAGATTTTGTGCATACTTGCAGAATATGTGAAAGCCCCCGAGCACCGGGTTTAGTTCTGCTTTAACAATCTCATAACGTAAAGTTAAAGTGACTTTGGTGCTATCCAAAACCATTTAGAAAAAAAACTCAGCGCAAAAGCAGCTGCTTAATACTTACTAGTAAAGAGCCGGGGCTTGGCGTGAACCCAGTTTACCCAAGGCCACTTAAAACTGTGGCTGCTACCACCCGTGGTCAAAGTCAGTCGCAGAGAGATGCAATCCTCACCCCGCAGCTACACGTCACAAAGGCACAGGGAATGTCCCGTCGCAACTGCTGCCACCGATTGGGCCTGAAGGTGGGGTTGTCAGTCAGTTTCGAGCGGCCTTGGTGAACTCAGGTGACCTGGGTTCGCCCCAAGCCCAGGCTCATCTCTAATCCACATCTCTCTGGCAGGTGGCAAATCCTAACTTTGCCCTCTTGTAGACTTCAGGCTGAGTCTTTAACATCTGACTCTGTCAGGTACAGCATGGTAGATGACTATCCACGATGCTTGCAGCAGTTCCATTGGCCACTAATGTGTAATGGGGCAGATATTGGTATCCGACACATCCAGAAGTGTCTGCTGCTGAAAATTTTGCTGAAGGCCCTAGCTCTGCATAATGTAGACGGTACCGCCGACCACAGGGTTAGGTATTAAAGGGTTACCATACACGTTACAATCTGACCATACAGTCTTTGCACAATCAATTGTAGAGTTACCAAACTGTAATATGAGGACCTACCTAATCTATTCAATCAAGTTGTATACAATCAGGCAGACTCTTGAACTACATAGTTGTTGGTAGATCTAAAGGGGACTGTACAATCAGACTCTAACATTGTGCAATCTCACACACGTTACTATCTGATCGCGCAATCTCCTTTAAATCTTCCAACAACTATCAGGGTTATTCACAAAAGGGTGAAGAGTTTGGAGAAGGCAGGAGAAGTAAAATAGCCGATTTGGAAAAAGCCTCCAGTTCAGCTATGTTGTCCTAGATTGTTCACTTCTCCTGCCTTCTCCAAACCATTCAGGGCTAGTTCACACTAGTCACAGTGCATTCCAGTCCGATTCCGGCCAGAACGCACTGGATCGCATTGCAGCCGGCTCCGTTTGTTGCGGGGCAGGAGGGGGCATGGCGGTGTGTTCGAACTCAATGGCACCAGCAGCCATGCCCTCTGGCCGCAATGGGATCAGCCGCATGGGAACACTGTGTTTCAGTCAGAAAAAATTGTTCTTGCAGCATTTCGTGTGCCACGCGATCCCGTGCGGCCGATCGCATTACGGCCAGAGGGCACGGCTGCTGTACCATATACTTCAATGCACTACCACGCGCCTTCCCGATCCACAACAAACTGAGCTGGCTGCAATGTGATCCGCCCAGAACGCACTGTGACTAGTATGAACTAGCCCTCGGCGAATAACCCTCTACGCTGTACGTATTACAATAGCCTGCCTGATTGAAAGAAAATTGGATTGGATAGTTTAGACAGGTCATAGTTTTGGTCAATCTAAAATGGATTGTATGGTCAGATTGTAGTGTGTGTGTTGACCCTTCAAGTCTTTTGCAGGAAGCTTTTAGACAGCAACAAATTCACTTTAATATTTTCTGTTAGGGTATTTATTCGTGCTGCACGGTTACGATACAACAGCCAAGGCACTCATGCATTCATGTCCTAACACTGCTTGCTGATGCCAAGACTGGACTGCCTGGCTAACACACTCAGCACCTTTCGCTAGCAGAAGTAAAAAACCTTAGGGATCAATCCCTATAGTTTCATAGCATAAAGGGAAAGTTTGTGAGAATCACCCCAGCACATGTTCATTCTAACAGACCCACCGGTGCTAGGGCTACACACTACACGTGAGTCTCCTGAACTACCTAGCCCTGCCTTCTCAGAGACATTTAAACTGTCACTACCCTATATAAACTAAAAGGAGACCTCCCCACCTTCGTCTCCGTCATCCTCGGGATCCCAAAATCGCGGCTGGGGGTTCAGCAAACTCTCCAACTCCTGCGACAAGGGCGCCGCCATTTTCCCGGAGCACGCTGATCACTGACACACCCCTTCTCGGTGACGTCACAAGCCACTGCTTTTCCGCCTCAATCTGTGGGTAGAGCTCACGCGAGAGAGCAATGTGTGGCTGGCTGTTAAGAGGTCAATGTGACTTCGAGAATATGTGTCTCTTCAGTGGCAGTGCGAAGGTGGAGACGTGTTTACATAGTGGGATGTCTTCGTGACGGATAACGCAAAGTGTGGGGGTTACCTAAGGGCTGTGCTTGTAGTCATTGAAATATTTTAGCTCTGTTCACACTAGTGCAATTTGCCCTATTATTATTATTTTACAGGATTCATATAGCGTCAACAGTTTGGGCAGCGCTTTACAATAGAAGGAAGACAATACAATCACAATTCAAGTCAGGATGATAAGGAGGGCCCTGCCCCGAAGGCTTACACTCTAAAAGGGACCCTATTAGGGTTGCCACCTTTTCTTCCATCGAAACCCGAACACTCTAGCGACACACAGAAATTTTCTTGGAAGAATGAGTTGCGGCTTTTTCATATGTAAATATCACAGTTGAGACTATTTTCAGTGGGGGGCCAGTAGCCCCTATCTTTATTATGGTTGTCCCTGTCTGCCTGACATCTTGTGTCCGGGTTTCTGCTGCCATGAAACCCGAACACAGCATTCAAAACCCGAACTGTCCGGGTGAATCCTGGACAGGTGGCAACCCTAGACCCTATGTCTTCCACCGCGCTGCAATTCACAACTATGGAAATCCCATAACTCCCCTCTCTCCAGGCATGCAACCTGCATCAGTTTATTCATTTCAATAGGTTTCTGTATCTGTGACAAATGTAGCAAAGAAGCTCAAGCAGCAGTACAAGATGCAAGCTGCATGCAATTTTTGACTGTGCATTTTTGCATGGGCAAAGACGTGCACTTTGCCTACTGCGTTTGGGGTTCCATTAACAAGTAATGGCATCGCAAGCTCGTCATAAGCTTTTGCTGGGCAAAAGTGGGCCTGTTCACATCTAGGCAACATGGTGCAGTGTGATTTTTGAAAAGGTGCATGTGCTTCTTTTGGTTCTAGAAGAAAAATGCCCCAAACATGCGTTTGGAAATAGGGGTACTGGTGTTAAAGCTACATGTGGCGTACATGTGTAAATTAATTCTAGTGGTTAGAATAAATTAGGGCAATAGTAAACTGCCATCTCAAAAGAAGTATAGTGGGGCCCCCAGCAGGTGTTTGCCATAATGTGCTAGTGTGCGCAGCATATTAACACATTATGGCATACTTGCTTTGTAGGCGATCCACTCCAGTGGTCTCAGTGATCCATCGCTGACACTTCCATTTTCTCCTGGTCTTATTCCAGATTCAGTGTCTTCTCCCTCTTGGGGTGATATAATTCCTACATATGTGCACGGAAGTTACTTCATTTCCACACAGAACCATGCCAAGACTGTACACCTGAGCTGTACATACGCGCTTTTGTATACACAAACACAGGAAGGCATCAATTATGACAGAAGAGACATAGAGGGTTATTCACTATGGAGCCGAAGGGTCCAGCCGTAGCTTCAACAGGATCTAGCCGTAGCTCCAGGTGGTCAGTGGGGGATCCAGGTGGTCAGTGAAGGCTCCAGGTGGTCAGTGAGGGCTCCAGGTGGTCAGTGAGGGATCCAGGTGGTCAGTGAAGGTTCAAGGTGGTCAGTGCGAGCTTTCAGGTGGTTAGTGCGGGCTCCAGGCGATCAGTGCGGGCTCCAGGAGGTCAGTGCGGGCTCCAGTGGGAGTCAGAGAGACTGGCGACAGCAGCCACAGCAGATGTGGCTCTCAGCTCAGGCACATTAGAGGGCCCTCTGATATGCCTAAATAGAGGGCCGCTGCTGCATGGTCAGCTCAGCCCGGTCGCGACCCAGGTCAGGTCGGCCCAGCCGTGATCCGGGTTAGCTCTGCTCAGCCAGGCTGCGAACCGGGACAGCTGGGCCTATTTGCAGGCACGGGCATGGAGCAGTAGCTCCACCCGCCCCTATGTTAATCTGGCTCTGCTGGGTGAACCTTCTGGCAGCTGGGAATGATGTAGCAAGGGGCACACCACTGGACTTCGTGGTAATGGGAGATTGGGTGGGAGATGTATCACTATTAGAGTATCACTGATGGCACGAAATGAATGACTTGCCACTCATTTGTTAATAGGATGCTGGTGGCTGTACAGTCATTGCTTGTTATGTTTATGACCATATTTAGTCAGTAATATCAGGACCCCCCACCCCTTTGTTTTCATTCAGCAGCTGGCTAGGAAAATATCATTTGTGAGTCTCATTCGTGGTGGTCAGTGTGTTTTTTGTTGGCGGGAGTCATTTTATCAGGATTTAGGCGGCTCTGCATCGCTGGATGATGTGATTGACAATGGATTTACATTGTTTTTTCTTAACCAGTTCACATCCGGGGTGTTAAACCCCCTTCCCATCCAGGCCATTTCCCCTATATTAAATTCTAAAACATTAATAATTACCCAATTTTTTGGTAAAATGTAAAAGACGGGGTCACGTTGGGTAAAGAGACACCAAACATGTCAAGCCTTAAAATTGCGCACGCGCGCGAAACCTCAAAAAAACTACATTACCCAAAATTGGCCATAGGCGACGGCAACCCGCGGGTTCGAGTCTGCCGTCCGTCCGTTTTTTCTTAATGGGCGGACGGCAAGAGGTTAAATAAAGGACTTTATTACTGTGTTTTGTGTTTATTTGCTTTTTTGTGAATTTTTCTTTTTTTGTGTGAATGAGTAAGCAGGGGCACTATTTACATCTTACTTATTTACTTAGGGGAGAATATCTGGGGGCCACTTTATTTTATAGGAGGGGGGAGGGGCACACATTCACTGTCCCTCCCTTTACTGGCCAGGCAGGCTTCATATTCAGATAAGCGTCTGGTATGGATTTTGGGAGAAGACTCAAAGCTTTTTTGTGGGTATCCCACTTACTGTGCATGCCAGACCCTCATCTGGGATTAGGGCCTGGTATAGATGTTGAAGGGAATTCCCGGCCATACTTAGCGGCAATTTAAATGGTATTTTTTTATCTTTGTAAATTTCACTTTTTCTCTAGTACATTGTACAGGTGTGCCACATCGTGTGCAGGTTCAAGGCATCCCCCAAAAATGTTATTCAAAGGAATTGTGTATTTTTAATTTTGCCTTTTAAGCCTTTTCTAAAAGAGGTTCTCTCCATTGAACGGTATTTTAAAAAAAACACATTTTATTTACATTATTACATGCCCCCCATGCCAGTGTTCTCTACCCATGCCCTTTCTTTCCTAAAAGCTTGCAAAGTGGTCTTGAAAGATGCCACAAAAAGATACGGCTTCCACAGACTTCAATGGGGTTTGCCGCTAAGTTCAGGGTTCACAAATGTTTTCAATTGTTCTGAGGCTAAGCAATTGAGAGGTTAAAGTGACATTAAACCCTCAGATTTTTTAACATAAACCAATACTGTAATGTGTGCCTTACTGTAAGCCATGGTTGTTTCCCTTCTCTTTGCTGCTCTTCCTTTTAAATCTGTATCTCTTCTCATGCTTGGGGAGAACTTCCCTTTGCAGCTGACTGCCTCTCCCTGTAGTGCTGGCTCAGGTTGTGAACCTTCACACAGACACCATATATCCATTTCAGAGACAAGGAAGTCTGCTGCAAAACAGAAGTTCTGCCCAGCATGAGAAGAGATACGGATTTAAAAGGAAGAGCAGCAAAGAGAAGGGAAACTACCATGGATTACAGTAAGGCACACATTACAGTATTGGTTTATGTAAAAAAAATCTGAGGGTTTAATGTCACTTTAAAGTTGCTCCACTTTCTGTTGAAGACTTAATTATAAGGGCCTGGAAGAAAACTAAGATGTCTTTTTTACACCGAGGCATCAAATTGATGATAGAGAATGGAAATGTTGCGAAAAGGAGAATTAGTTAATTCCCAACAGCTTTGAGAACACACAGGAGAATAGCCAAACAACTACTCTGCATGTTCAGCAGGGTGTAGACTGTCTAAAGGTGCCCATACACTGCACGATTCTCCTACGAGAATCGCGGGAAATCCCGCGATCGTACGATAATCGTGCAGTGTGAATTAAGACGTGCAACCGTTTCTACTGTACGGTCACACGTCTTTTGTCTAAGGAGCATGCTAGAAAACCAGCCGTAAATCTTACCATTTTCGGCTGGTTTGAATGATGCTGGGGAGACAAATGCTGAACGGGCCGATGTGCGCACGCGCACACTGCCCGTTCAGCATTGCGGTCATCGCAAGCCCGCCCCTCAGGGGGGCGGGCTTGTGATGATCGCAAGTACAATCTGCCTGTCCAAGATGGGCAGATCGTACGTTTTTTGTACTGCCTGTCCAATCACATCGACGCAGCCCCACTAATCACATGTCCTCAGCCCCCCTTTATCTAAGCACATCACCACAGCCCCCCTAATCACATGTCCTCAGCCCCCTCCCATCCCAT